AAGATTGCTCTACCCAGAAAAGCTATTATTTAGAATCAAAGGCAGAGAAAGAGCTTCCCAGACAAGAAAAATTAAAGGAATTCACCATCACCAAACCATTATTATAAGAAATGTTAAAGGGATTTAGGAGGTCTGTCCAAAAAGTATTCTGCCATGTAATTGAAAAATTGAGACATTGAAGATACGAGATACAAGAAACATTGTACATAGGACAATGATGCCTCAGTCCTCTTCACATAGTTCTCCCAGCATCTCTTCCACTATTCAAAGCAATTCTGAAAATCCTTTGTTGGAATTACTATTAGTGCCCAATCACATTTTTCTGAATCTCATCAACAGTCTGAAATTGCTTCCCTTTGAAAGGTGATTTTAGTTTTGGGAAAAGCCAGAATTTTTTGTTGACTGCAGCCTGTACACGTTCAGTACTCTCAGGTGTTCTCCATGTTGCAGGCCTTCCAGAATGTGGATCACTTTCAACAGATTCTTGACCACCTTGGAAGCATTTATGCCACATATTTATTTGCACTGCATTCATTGCATCATCCTTGAAAGCCTTCTGAATCACCCAGTTTCCAAGGAGGAATGTTCAAGCTTAATGCAAAATGTGATATTCATTGCTCTACTTGCAGTCATTTGGAATGTGACAGCCACACAGTACTCGTGCTCACTCACTGGCATCTACCGCCCCCACTGACTTGAACAGTGATGTCATTGTTCACACATGTGCATTCCATCCACTCTCCTTGGCTGACAGATTATATTGATGTCACACAAACCATTCTCATTATATTAACAATGGCTGGACTTTTTTGGACACACCTCATATTTAAGAAAAAGAAGACCAAAACTATGAACAATAAAGTGGCAATAGATACATATCTATCAAAAATTGAATCTAAAAAAGAAACTAAGCAAACAAGAACAGAGACAGAATCATGGATACAGAGAGTGTTTTTTTTTTTAAAGCCTTTCTTTATTTTTTAAAAGATTTTATTTATTTATTTTTAGAGAATGGGGAAGAGAAGGAGAAAGAGGAGGAGAGAACTATCAATGTGTGGTTGTTTCTCGCGTGCCCCATACTGGGACCTGGCCTGCAAACCAGGCATGTGCCCTGACGGGGAATTGAACTGGTGACCCTCTGGTTCGCAGCCAATGTTCCATCCACTGAGCTACATCAGCCAGGGCCAGAGAGTGTTTTGATGGTTTCCAGATAGGAGGGGGTGTGTGGGAATGGGTGAAGAGGTGAGGGGATTAAGAAATAGAATGCAGAATATCCACGGGGATGTAAAATACAGTAAAGGAAATGGAGCAGCCAAAGAAATTACGCATGGCCCATGGACATGAACAATAGTGTGGGAACTGTCTGTGGGAGTTGGCAGTGCTGGGTGCAAGGGGGACAAGGGAAAAATGTGGGCAGCTGTGATAGCATAATCAATAAAATACAATTAAAAACTGGGTGGCACTCCAGATAAATGTTCAATTATCAGCTCTTCTGCTGTGTTGCCTCTGTGTTGTTTTCTGAATGGGTTATACAAAGGTCTACCTAAAATTTTATATATAGGTTTCAAAAATCCCATACTCTAGCATAGCAATTTCTCAGAAATTAAACATAGAATCTCCACAAGATCCAACAACTCCACTTCCTGGTATATATCCAAAAGAATTGAAAGCAAGATGTTGAAAAAAAAAAACTTATAATGTTCATAGTAGCATTACTCAAAGTAGTCAAGGGGTAAAAACAATAAAAATGCCCACTGGCATTTTGGTGGATGAGTGGACAAGCAAAACATGGTGTATACACACAGATATTATTCAGCCTGAAAAAGGAAGGAAATCTTGTCACATGTTGCACATGGGTAATACTTGAGGACATTATTCTAACTGAACTAAGACAGTCACAGAAAGATAAGCACTGTATGATTCCATTAGTAGGGTATCTAAAATAGACAAATTCACAAAAACAGACAGTAGGATGGTGTTTACCTGGGACCAAGGGCCGAGGAAAAGGAAAGTTGTTTAGTGGGTATAGGGTTTCTGGTTTTCAAGATGCAGAAAGTTTTGAAGATGTTTCACAACGATGTGAGTAGACTTAACACTACTGAGCTGTACACTTAAAATTAAGGTAGTGCATTTTATGTTATGTGATTTTTAAAAGATTTTACTTATTTATTTTTAGAGAGAGGGAAAGGGAGGGAGAAAGAGAGGAAGAGAAACATCAGTGTGAGAAACATTTATCCATTGCCTCTTGTACATGCCCTGACCGGGGGCCAAACCCACAACCCAGGCATGTGTCCTAACTAGGAAGGGAACTGGTGACCTTTCACTTTGTGGGATGATGCCCAACCATCTAGCCATGTGGGTCAGAACATATATGTGTTTTTAACACAATAAAAAAGGAAGGAAATTTTGAGACATATTAAATAGAGATGAACCTGACACTAAGTAAAATGAGCCACCTGATAAACATAGAGTATGTTTCCAGTTTATTAGATAACTAGTGTAGTCAAATTCATACAGGCAGAAAACAGAACAGCAGTTGCCAGGGCTTGAGGGAGGAGAGACCAAGAAGTTATTATTTCATGTGTAGAGTTTCAGTTTAGGAAAATTAAAAGTTCTAGAGATGGATGGTGGTGATGGTAATAAAACAAGGCAAATGTACTCAATGCCATTGAATTGTATAACTAAAAATGGTTAAGTTGATAAATATCATGTTAAGTGTATTTTCATGGCAATGAAGAGATCACTAGATAATTTCTTTCAATAATTCTCTCCTCATTCTCTAGCTGGGGAAGGGAGGAAAGGGGCACCCCTCTTACACAGGACGGGAATGAAAGACAGGGATCCACCCACAGCCTCTGGAGCCAGAGTTCCAGGCAGTGAGAGGGTGGGAAGTGAGCGCTGGTTTTGTGATGTTCACCTGAGTAGGGCTGGTATAGTCACCATGTTTATATCCTGCTGGGTACACTTCTTTCAGTCTATTGCTAAAAAGAGTAGCCTTTTGAGGGGGTATTACTTTTTTCATCTGCAGCTGTAGGTGTTTCTGGGTTTTAGGTCTCTCCAGAGTACATGTCAGAATATATAAAAGAAATATATAAAACAATAACAAAAACAGGAAACTCACTACCTACTTGGTAGTTCTGTGAGTCTTGTGAACCCTAGCCAGTCACCTTTATTTCTCTACCTTTCAGAATCTTCTCTCAGTTGCTCTGTGAATTTTTGCCCAATTTTTAATTAATTAATTAGTTAATTAATTAATGTATAATTCTTGGAAACCATAGGGTGGAATGTGCTTACTCCACTTCCTCTGGAACATAAGTTACAGTAGCTGCACTTGCTAGTTTTATACTCATGGGGTATTCTTTAATGTCCATAAGTAGTTCAACATATTTGCCACTTAGTAATTGTTGATACTACATTTTTCCTATTCAAGTTACTGGTGTGATACTCATGTACTAACTGATATGCAATATTTGGCATTGACGAAGCTTAGGGTGTGACCATCAGTGTACATGGTGGCGAATGTGGAGATGAACACTGGAGATGAAGACGTCATCACGAAGAGAAACTGAGATGCTGGAAGGATCATCCGCTTCACAGTCTAAGTCACACACACAAGAAAAGACAGACTGTGACCCAGGAGCTCACTGGCTCTACACCTTTACCACATTGTGTCATGACCACCGAGTACTTCCATATTTGAACCCAGAGGCTCTGAGAGAAACATCCGGTGTCAAAACCTTGATTCAGCAGTCTGCATCAAACGCTTGTCATTGTTGGGTAATATCAAGAACCCAGTCTAGGATCAGAAAACCTAGTTCCGACCCTGGCTGTGTGGTGTACATTCCAGCCCAACGCCCTGACCAACACATTTCAAACCACGTTTCCTCATCTTTGAATTAAACGTCCATTTCTCTTCGGTTTGCCTCACAGAAAGGCTGTGAAGGGAGTTTGCACTCACCACATTCACTACTTTATTCCTGCTAGAGATGAGGCCTTTCTCCTGCCAGGTGCTCAGGGACATAGATTTTTACAGCTAGCAGGTCTTTTGTCCACACCCCTGCTCTGATCCTTTGTCCTCCCTTGGACACTGCTACAGCCCACTACCCATCTCCCTGAGAAGTCTCCCTCACAGACTGCCCGATGAGTCTGTCGAAAACAAGGAGGTAATCTGTTAGGACATACCATGGCTGCCCTCTACACATGGAAGCATCTCCTTGGTCCAGGCTCAGTGAGCCCTGCAGCCAATCCCCTTCCTCACGTGGCCCTCTCCTGTCCCCACAGCACGCCAATTTGGCGTCTGTGCATGTCAGTGCACTGATCTACAACATTGTTGTTTCTGATTTATATGCCCTTGAATAAGCTGCTGCCTCTGCCTGGAATAGCATCTTTCCACGTACACACATGCTAAAATAATATTTTTTGCTTTAAGACCCAACCCAAACACAATTCAGAGTACACAGGTCTTTTCCACACAATAGGAAGTAGCCTTTTGCTCCACTGAGGTTCCATTGCATTTGACTAAATCTTCTCTGAAAGGCACACCCCACAGATGGTCTCATACTGTGGTAAACATGCCATGTCTCCTTCACTGGCTGGGAACATCTCCTGGGCAGGAGTTCATTGTACTCATTTGCCTCCCAACAGCACTCAGAAGAAGGCCTGGGATACAGTGGGTGTCCAGGGACCGTTAGGCAAGCACGTTGCTAGGTAAGTGCATGGGGTTTAAGCTTAAGCATGATTTGCAAGGGGACAAATACGAATTATGTGTGGAGGACAAATATGAATTATGTGTGGAGTCTATATAGAGCGTGATGATTTATGAGCTTATACTCAGAGGCTGACTTGGAAGGGAGCAGTGGTCCATGTGAGTGTGCTCTGTGCATCTATGACACATGAGCACAGGAGGTACCCCTGGGGCTTGTCCTCTCTACAGCTCAGCCAGGCTGGTCACCTTCCATCTCATCAGCCTTCTCGCCTCCCCACCAACCCTGCTTTCCTACCTCAAGTATACGTCAGACTCCAGCGCAAAGGCCCCATTTTCAACAGCTTTCTCAAAGGACATCATAGTATTCTCAGGCCCCAACTGTGGAAGAAAAGGACAGCAGACCATCTACCTCAGAGTTCCTCTTCCCAGCATCCCTTTAATAGCAGGGAGGAAGCCCAGTGACAAAAGGGCTTCAGGGAGCAGCGCTTGGCTCCTTCTGAGACTTTTTTCAAAGAGCCTGCCTCTATTCTCCTCCACCCAATGCGAATCAGGGACTCTGCTCATCTGAGCTTCTGAGGCAATGCCACTGGGCACAGTAATGAGAAATGTGACCTGGGTTCAAGTGCAACCTCTACAATTAACACTTTATCTTGTAATCTGAAGCCAACCTTTTTTCTTCTCCAGAGATTCCTGAGATTCTGAGGCCCCCTCCCCTTGTCCATAAAGCCCACGCACACAGGTACTCACCCACGTCCATCGGGCTCACACCTACCATGGGTGCACCTCTATGTCCAATGAGGCCCGGCTTGGGTCCCAATTCATCCTTCTCCTGAAGGCAGGGAGAATAAATCCCCAATGGCACCACAAAGAGACAGAAAAGGATAAGAAAAAATGGCAATCCAATAGCCACTTGTACAGCTGAAAAAGTTGGAAGGAGGGCAGAGTAAGAAGAAAAAGATAAAGAGGGATGGAGACCCATTCAAAGCAACTAACTCTCCCAGAGCAGCAGTCAGTAAACACCCAGTGTGTGGGTTCCATGGACCCTGTGGATTGCCTGATGCACTCTCTAGTTCTGTCATATCCCCATTTAGTTTCAATGATTTGAAAGAACAGGACCACCCAAACGTAAGCATTATTAGGAAGGCAATATCATTTGAATGAAAATTTATAGGGAATGAACTGCGCAGGGTGAGGGAGGGGAGGGGGGGAGGGCATGTTAAGGAATTCCTTCTCAGGAGTAGAGGGGCAGAATGGCCGGGGCTGAGAAAGCCCTGAGGCCTGTAAAGATCCACCTAAAATGCCCAAATATACTGCAGTGCAGGACAGAGGAAGGGGCCCTGCTGAGAGCAATCTGAGTTCAAAGCCAGACACTACCAATGTCAAACTGTGTGACTTAGCCTCTCTGGCTCTCCCTTTTCTTCATTCTGAAAACTGGGGCTATCTTGCTGCCGCCGTCTGCCTCATAGAGTCAATCAATATGCCTGTGTTGACTCATACTGGTAGTCAATAAACACTAATGCCGCACTTGCTTCTGTCTCCTCTCCGTCTCTCACACACACACTGCTCATCCACAATGCCCGTCATCACTGGCCATTCCCCAGCACTTCTAAGGGGACCTCTGAGGGTTTTACCCATTTGTCCACTTTTAAGTTACCACCTCTATTTCAGATCTGCATCTGCAGCTCTAACCTCTCAGCTTTGTGAGTCTAGTACATCTCTGGACTCTTTCTCTCCTTTGATGTGTAATCTTCTTTCTTCTGAATCTAGCTAAAATCTCAGAAATGAGAAAGAGTTCATTATTGGCCCCTTAAAGCTCTTGCCCCCAAAGATTTCCAATAATTCACCCTACACACACACACACACACACACACACACACACACACAGAGGCAACCCTACCAATCTAGTCATGCTCTTGTCTCAAGCCTTGTACAGTCAGGAAGCAAACACTCCTTGATTAACGAAGAGTGAAAAGAGACATAGGAAAAAAGAGCCTGCTGGTTTCTTATTAAGGGTGCTGAGGGATAATGCCATTCTCAAAACAATTTCTGATTCTCTTTTGTTTTCATGACATTAGGGCAAAGAATGACATTAGACATCTCTCCTTCTATCTAAGTCCCCAGGTGTGACAGCGACTCACAGTGGCCTGTTTTGTGTTACTACAGTGTACCCAGGGATCTCTGACCTAGTATAAGCACACTAGTTGAAACTAGTAACGCCTGAACACAATCTAAGAGAACAGAGTGACTAGTACCATCACTGTGTCATATAAAATTAAAGTGGCCTCCACCCTCCCCCTAACCCCATTCCATTTCAGACACTCATTGTGTTAACAACATGAAGATCATTCTTACTTTCCTAGGAGAATCCCTCTTAAGAAGCTGGCCTGTTTGGTCAGGAAAATGTGATGACAGGCCATGTGGGCTTGTGAGTTTGACCACAGGAACGTGCCTGAGTAATAAGCTAAACGAATTTCAAAGGGGCAGAGTAGTGGCTATTTACCAAGCTCCTGTTTTGCTGGGTGGAGTATGCAAGCTAAAGCCAGAGCTGAAAGGATGAGGCTCCACCCACATGACATACCTTCTAGTTCCCAATGGACCAAGTAGAAGGCCACAGGCCAGGAAAGGAGAACCATCACGGTTATGCTGCTCAGGTGTATGTAGGGAGCAAAGATCTGGGAAAAAGCCAAAAGTCAGGCTGATGGCACTGGACAAACAGTGCTAGCCCTGCAGGACGATGCGTACCTTCAGTGAGAGCCCCAGTGTCAGCCACCGGTCATTCCAGAACTTGAATAAAAGCGTCATAAAAAACGTGCATATCCCAATCACTAGCATAGTCAGGATCTGGGGAAACAAAACAGTATCTGCTGACTGCAGGCACTAGGCTTTGATGATCAGAACCGTCCTTGGGAACTGTATGTGTCCCCACCATGTCAGGGACCTCATTGCCTCATCCTTTACTCTGACCATCCTGCAATCCCCAATGTTGGATAAATCCAATCATTTACCTTCTTTGCTCCCAAGTATTTGTTGTATAGCATGGCTGGGGAGAGAATCATACAACTACGTGGTTTGATGCCTTTACTAATTATCACCTCCAGCCTCTGCTCAGCCCTCAGCGTTTTCTGGAATCTCTCACTAGGTTTCAACAATGAGCATTACAAATATTCACTACTTCTTTTATTCCACTCCATACCATCGTAGGTATATAATATTTTGTAATTACCTTTGCAATGTATGTTCTCCCAACAGACTGTAAGCTTCATGACATCAAGTAAAATATTTATGATTACACCTTCACTGCCTTGCAGAATGTCTGACACATAGTAAGCATTCAGTAAATATTTTTTAACAGATGAAAAGAATCTGCTTCATGCCAGAGCACTGCATACTTTATAAAGGACGCTGAGCCCAAGTAGACATAACTTTAACTTTTCCTTGAAATGTACAGTCTTTCTATTTTATGTCCTGATTTCCAGAGAGTGCTTAGTTCTTCCTTTCTGTAATCTGGGTATCTATTTAAGTAACTGGAACCATAATTAAACCTTCACACAAAATAACTCAAAGCCTTGCTGGCATGAATGGTTAATTTTACCAAATAACAAGGGTGAAAAAAGTAGGTCTACAGTTACAGTATGTGAAACACAGGGTTAATAAAGCTATTATATAATCCTAACCCGCATGTTTTTTCTTTATAAACAACTGTAAACCTACTTTTGCTTCCCTCTGTATTTGGGAAAGAAATATTTCTAATCTTTTTTTTTGCTTATGCTTTTATTTTTTACATATATTTTATTGATTATGCTATTACAGTTGTCCCATTTCCCCCCTTCATTCCCCTCCACCCTGCACACCCTCTCCCACCCACATTCCCCCACTTTAGTTCATGTCTGTGTCATATGTACTTTATTTTCTACATTTCCCACACTACTCTTGCCTTCCCTGTCTATTTTCTACCTACCTTCTATGCTACTTATTTTCTGTACATTCTCCCCCTCTCTCCTCCTCCCACTCCCCTGTTGCTAACCCTCCATGTGATCTCCATTTCTGTGGTTCTGTTCCTGTTCTAGTTGTTTGCTTAGTTTGCTTTTGTTTTAGGTGTGGTTGTTAATAACTGTGAGTTTGCTGTCTTTTTACTGTTCATGTTTTTTATCTTCTTTTTCTTAGATAAGTCCCTTTAACATCTCATATAATAAGGACTTGGAGATGATGAACTCCTTGAACTTGACCTTATCTGGGAAGCACTTTAACTGCCCTTCCATTCTAAATGAAAGCTTTGCTGGATAGAGCAATCTTGGATGTAGGTCTTTGGATTTCATGACTTGGAATACTTCTTTCCAGCCCCTTTTGCCTGCAAGGTCTCTTTTGAGAAATCAGCTGACAGTCTGATGGGAACTCCTTTGTAGGTGACTGTCCCCTTATCTCTTGCTACTTCTAGGATTCTCTCCTTCATTTGAATCTTGGCTAATGTAATTATGATGTGCCTTGGTGTGTTCCTTCTTGGGTCCAAGTTCTTTGGGACCGTCTGAGCTTCCTGGACTTCCTGGAAGTCTATTTTTTTTGCCAGATTGAGGAAGTTTTCCTTCGTTATTTGTTCAAATAAGTTTTCAATTTCTTGCTCTTGTTCTCCTTCTGGCACCCTTATAATTTGAATATTGGAACATTTCAAGTTGTCGCAGAGGTTCCTAAGCCTCTCTTCATTTTTTTTTTGAATTCTTGTTTTTTCATTATGTTTCAGTTGGATGTTTATTTGTTCCTTTTGTTACAAATTATTTATTTGAGTCCTGGTTTTCTTCCTGTCACTGTTGGTTCCCTGAATATTTTGCTTTATTTCACTTTGGGTATCTTCCATTTGTACTTTCATTTTTGCAGCCAAGTTCAATTAGTTCTGTGAGCCTTTTGAGTACCAAGGCTTTGAACTCTCCATCAGAAGAGTTGGCTATCTCCTCATTGCTTAGCTCTCTTTCTGGAGTTTTGTTACGTTCTTTCATTTGGGTCATATTTCTTTGTCTTGGCACACCTATTAAGTTGTAAGGGGGTGGGACCTTAGGTATTCAGCAGGGCAGGGCAATCCTCCTTCCTGTGCTGGAGCACTATCTGAGGAGAAGGGGCCACAGAGGAAACAATGTAGCTCACCTGCTCAGCTCTAGCCCCACTTTCCTACAAACCCCTGTGTGAGACCGGCAGATTCTCCCACTGTGGCAACCTCTGCCGTAGTCCACAGGCAGCTCCAAGTCTCAGTTTCCCATTCAGTCAGCCCCACCTGCATGCTCACTGCCTGGCCTCAGGTTCACTCCATTGGCCCATCTTACTGGTCTGGTTGGTCTGGTTGACTGTTTCTTTAATTCCTTGGTTGTTGGAGTTCCATGCAGTTTGATTTTCTTGCACTTCTGGTTGTTTATTGATTTTAGATTGGTTGTTGTCCTTCTTTTGGTTGTGTGAAGAAGCGAAGGGTTTCTACCTATGCCTCCATCTTGGCTGGACTCTCTATGTTTAGTTATGTTTAGATACACAAATACTAACCATTCTGTCAGAACTGCCTACAACATTTAGTATAGTAACATGCTGTGCAGGTTTGTAGCTTAGAAGCAACACTTAGGACTTATTAAGTATACTCTATGACATTGTACAATCACAAAATCACCAAAGAATGCATTTCTCAGGATGCATTTCTGTTGTTAGAGACACATGAATGTATAGGCCTATCTCTCTTACGTACATAGATGCAAAAATCTTAAGCAACCTATTAGCAAACTAAAAGCACCACAGCACAAACGTTTAACTGTCAAGTCAGATTTACATGAGTCTCATGATTCTGCAACATCACCCAATACCAACCTTAACTAGTGATTTCAACAATACAAACAATTAGGTACAGAAAACATTTTCCTTTGGAGAAACTGGATCCTATAGAATTCACAGACTCATTAAAAGTCCTTTTCTCCTCTGTACTAGGGTACATACTAGTCTTAGACTAAAAATGTTTGATGTGTTTTAGCAAAGTATGTGGAAACGCCGCTTCAGAGAAGGAGCCTCTGTGGTTATGGAACATGCTTATCTGATGTCCATTAATTATACAGCTCCAGCCAGCCATGCCTCCCACCCTACAGATCTATAAATTCCAGGTTTTTTCACAATCAGCAACTCAAATATACGAGGTTATATTCTGCTAGATATTTTCATGGATAAGGACCCTCATTATTTTTGGCTAATAAACATCTTTGTATGAGTTTCCCAGGAAGTTGGGTTACAAGCATGTTAGGAGGAGTTTTGATTGAATGCATTCCTCTCTGAGCAGCCCTAAGTAGAAGAGGAGTGGGGCACAGGTCCGGTGCTAACCCATTTCTCCTAGGTTTATTTCCAGTACACTAAAACTAAAACTCAAAGCCAACAGGATGCCAGCAGAAGCAGTCTCTCCTCTCGAATCTGATAAGCCTATCCTCCACTGGTTTGAAAATTTATTGCATATGAGTATACCTACTAGACCGAGCTTCTGAATAGATTACCAGAATCCTGGTATCATGCATCTCAAAGTGGTTCTAATTGCTTCTTTGGTTATCAGAAACCTTGGTGTAATACAGAAGGAAGTACCCAAAGATGTAATGACAAAAGTGTGCTGGAATGCTCTCACCCATGACAAGCCTACCCTCTCCCTGTCATGTTCTGTGGAGAAGTCTCAGAGGACACTGAGAACTACATGGTAAGGAAAGCGTCAGCATCCATGACGGACGCTGCAGGGACTGTCCCCTCTGCCTGAGGAAAGCTCAGAGATGCTGCCATTGAAACCGGCTTCCTGACTTCAGGGAGATGACAGGGTCCTGCTGTGGCAGAGACCATGCAGATGCAGAGGCAAGGCGAGCGTGAGTTCTGCAACAGGCACGGGCCTGGGACATAGCAATCAGACAGTTCACCCCAGAGGCATCCTTTGTAGTCACTAACTGATCACAGTGTCCCAACTCAAAAAAAGGCAGTGATCTCAATGAGACCTGTTTTCTTTGCCTCTCAATCCGCATTCTCCCCCTATGAGACCTTATGACTTCAATTCCCATCTGTTCTAATAATTCTGTTTTTTCTCCAGCCTCCTGCAATTAACAACTCTCACATTTATATTCCAGTTCATATGTCTCGAGTACGAGGAACTTTAAGGGGGCCCTTCAGAGCCTGACATGTTCCCAGGTTTCAGGAAACATAAGGAATGTGTCAAACCCATGCCTGAAGTGGTCTGCACAAAAGCCAGGGGGCTGTGGTGGAGCCGCGCAAGCACGTGGCAGAACAAAACGAGGGGGGAGGCCATGCTGGAATGACCTGCGTGTTTGCAGATGGTGGCGCGCTGAGGCCTGCTTCCTGGGGACCAAACCCTGGTCCTGTGAGAGAAGTCATGCTCGTGGCATCTTACAAAGCTCCAAGTGAAGGGACCCCACAAGACACATTTGGAGGGTATAGGAAGACAGGCATTGGCCCCACCAAGAGAGCTGTGGTCAACTCTCAGCAGGCGCTCAGCAGGAGGGGCTCTGAGAACACACTTGGGAAAAGCCCATGGGGCAGAGGGCCAACAAGAGTGTGTGTACCTGGTCCCGATGGGTCAACCCCAGGCACCCCCTGGCCCTTCCCAGTGGGACTGTGTTCTCCGATCCCATCTCCTGTTCCCCTGCACTCTCCTGTGGTGACAGAGGTCATGGGACCACTGTGTTCTCTCCACCAGTGGGGGATGGGGAAAGTCACCAGTGGGAGTTTGGGTTACCACAACAAAAAGAACTTTTAATGACTGAAATGAGAATGTCCTTGTGACTATCAGGACTGGAAAAGGAACGGCGCTCACTTCAGATCTGAACAGGACAGGAAGAACAGAGTCACAGAGTAGGTTAATGAGAAGTGGTGAGGAAAATAAAGTTTGTGCTCAGATCCTTCAGAAAATCGGTTCTATCTGTTAGAAATTTAATGGTTTCAGTTGAAACACAGTAAGTAGATCTGTTCCTTCTAACAGGAACAATGAAGAAAGCACAAGTCTGCACTAACAGTGAATGCCAGAAAGGCACGTTCGGTCCTGGTCTGAGGTCCCCTTGAAGATTCAAATGTCTCACCTTATGACTCCAGTGCAGGTAGAGTTCATAGCCTTCCCAAATCAACAAAAATCCAAGTACCTGAAAAAGCAAAGAAGAAAATGGAGGTTACTGTGAAATCGCCAAGTTGTGGCCCACAGCCCTGTTCTGGATTCAAATGCCTTTCCCTTCCATCCCTTCTTGCCATGCCTGCACTTTTCAGCCTCTGGGAGTTTGCCACGCTGTTCCACTGCCTCAAAAGCTCTCCCTCCCCAGGACACTGACCTTTCAAAGCAGGTTCAAATGTCCCCTCCTATGGTAACTATTACCAGCATCCCCAGGAAGAACTAACTATTATGCTCTCCACACCCTGACATCCTTCCTAAGTTCCTCCACTTCTTTTCTGTGATGGACCTTAGTCTTGGAATTATTACTTAGACCCACTTGTGAGAGAACACAGGACAGGGGCCAGCATGTCCAAGGGTTATTTAAAAGCTCTTCCTTGAGGAACCAGTGTCACTGTCACAACCGCTAACCATGGCTGTTCACACTGGTATTTAGGCAATAAGTCTTAGTTAGATTTCAGTGTAAACTTAGCCAGGCACCAAGTCCATATAGAAACGGAAACTGAAAAGTGGAGTCCTCAGATGATTAGGACATTACTAAGAGTTGGGCATGTAGATCACTGATTTTTTTACCAAAATAATTTTATGTATATGATTTTACTTCTTCTTTACCCAGTCCTATAAAATACCAATTTATTAAATACGATCATTCTCATTTCAAACAAAAGAAACTGAGTCTGAGAAGAGTAATATGACTCGACCAAGTTAAAAGTAACCCAAAGACAGAGCTGGAAATAGAACTCAGCTCTCCCTCTTGTCCCTGTTGTTGCCATTGTATGCATGCAAAAAAGGCAGAGTGGAGTAGGGCTTGTTAAAATATACTGGCTATTAGACAGTAGAACTCATTCCCCCACAAAAGCCAACTACGGCAGTTCATTTACTGCCTGTGAAAGCAACCCATTCAGTGGCCGGAGCCCGGCCCACACCACTTCATTCATCTGCATTTTCCCCATTATAAAGAAAAGTGTCTAACTTGTCTCTCTGCCTATAGTCACCCTCCACAGCACAACTGCTAGGACAATTTTCCTAAAATGGAAATCTGATTGATGCCCGAAGTTTTAGACTTACTTTCCAGGCTTCCGAAAGCCGTCACAGGCCTATGTTTTCAGCCTCATTCCCCACTGTCTTCATCAAGCCCTTCACCCCAACAGACTGGCCTTTCCCTCCTACACTGTCACACCCGTATTGTTCTGTCTCGCCTGCATGCTGGTCATGCTGTCTCTCTCCTGGAATGCTGCTCTCCATCCGCACACACGCACGTCTAAGTCCAACAGCCCTTCATGATCCCACTCCAGTGCTGACTCTTCCAAGAAGCCTTACTTAATCCTCTTGGCAGAAGTCATCTCTTCCTTTCCAGAATCCATGCAGAACTTAATTTAGGTCTCTCTAATGACGATCATAATGCTCTGCCTGTGTGAGTTACTTCTGTCTATGATTTAGTGACCATACTAGATTCTAAACCTATTGAATTAAGGGACTCTAGTAATTTTCCATTTCATACCAATATCTTTGAAGTGCCCTGAATGAAAACAGAAACTGGTTGTGTTTTGTTGACCTCTGTATACTCAGTATTTATCACTCCCATCATGATTAATAAATTTTATTGAGACAAAAAAAACAAATGCAAATGCCAATTGATTTTGGGGTTGACTTCTCTTCTATCAGATAGTAAGTCAGTAGGGACAAGAAATCGTGCAATCAGAGAAAGATATATATGCCCTATGTATAAATGGGCACTGAAAAACTCCAATTTCCTAAAAGTTATGAAATAACCCACCAATCCTATTGATCAGCTTAAAGCTAACTACCCTTAGATCAGAGCGGTGGTTAATGCGACCTTGAGTCATCTTACAGAGATGACACCATACCTGTGCCGCACTGTCTCTCAAGACTGAGGAAACGTCAAAGGAGAGGGGAGAGTGAAACCACACATTAACGAAGTTTTTTGTGCCTTACGAAAACCAATTAGGCTGGACTGAAATCAGACACTAAAAAATTGGACAGAGCCAAATTTTTAAAACTATTTTACAGGAAAAAAATACCCAGGAAGCTTTGTTCCAGTCCCTCAGCAGAGACCAGTTGAAACTGGTGTACACTGGCTGAGACAAGTTGAGCCCACCTGAGTCTGTGCAGAGAACGCTTGAAACTTTTGTCCCGCCAAACTGTCAAGATTTGAGATCCTCTGTGCCCTCCTTCGTCTGTCTCATATCCTCTGCCCTATATGCCTAAATCTTCAAATTATCCAACCAAACATTTCAGGCATAAACTTATAAAAATGTATCGCCTCCTCATACTCTTAACCCTCAAAACTTGTCTCAGGCCTTTCTTCCAGGAAAATGATTTGAGTCTTGCCTTCAATCTCCCTGTGTACCTACCTCACAATAAATCCTCTCTATCTTCAAAAGACACTGCCTCTGGGTACCTCTGAAAAGCATCATAGCTTTTCAGGTGCCTGGCGGGATGTGAACCCACTTTCTCGGATGGGTTACAGTTGTCCTCCCGGAAGCTTTCCACTCCACAGGCCTTTCTCTAGCTTGGTTTGAATTTCTACCCCTGTGTGACACCACTATGTGACAACAGAAGCAGGGTCACTGTTGCCAGAAGGCTTTTGCTAAAATCTAATGTGCACCTGGACTAGCAGACTAGCAGCTGCACATTATAACAGGTTTAAAAAATAAGCTAATTTGTAAGGCCCAGAAAGACTGATTCTCAGAAGATAGGAAATGAAATGAGCTAGTTCAGTGTGTAAAGGTACGGCTGATGTAAAGCTGTGGGTGCCTAAAATAACAATATTGAGTGAACCAGAAAATAAGCTATGAAACAGGGGAATAGAAAAAAGATGTTCTGCCAACTTTTCAAAGGGTCAAAGTGACAAGACGCATCCTCTGATAATGCAAGTCTGTTTTTCTCCATCGATCCCTTGTGCCTAAAATTCAAGCATTTGGTACAAACCCAACTCCACTTACACAAAGGTGATCTTAGGTTCTGAGGGTTCCCGGCCCCAACTGAGCACCATCCCATAGGCCGGAGCACCTTGTGAGGCTACTCAGGAAGGGAGTGGGAGAAACAGGGAACATCACTTACCAATAGCAATGCAGTGTAGGCAGCCAGGATTCCAAATAAACTCAGCAAAAGAAGGGACCAAAAGAACCAGTATCTTGTAATTAGATAAACAACCCTGCAAAAACACGTTTCAGTCCTTAAAACAGCAGAAAGTAGTACATCCATGTCAAGGATGGTGGACAAGGCTGGACTAGACATGGCATAAGAAAAGGGACATAATAAGAGTAGTATTTTGGGAACACATCTGTGAATAGCTTTGGGGATAATTAGTGAGGAATTTTAACTTTGTTCTGTAAGCAACTGGGTACTTTAATAAGAGTCTGATTAAGTGGTATGATTTTTTAAATGTTATTGAGAATACATATTCAAAAATTATGTCCTCTTTAGAAATTAATATGATGATAGAGAAATTCTGAAATGCCAAAAAAGTAAAGTCATCCAAAAGTTCACCACCTTAATAAGCTAGTGCTCTCCAGCTTGGCAGTTCTTCGTTTATATACCTGTATGTTTTCCCACATAAACGCCACCATGGCCAACACATTAATTACTCTCTTCTGTATGAGATTTGGACCATTAAAAATGGTCCTGATCTGTCCTTTTCCAAAAGTAGCTTATGGGAGAAAACTAATAATGATCTACTAAGAGAAGCAACGTTATACTTGGTCTAGATATGTGTCAAAAAGTTTAGACTCTTCATTTCAAGAGAACAGAAATTTCCTCCTTTCCATATAATATCCAGAGAAATTAGATTTTAAAGATATAACATATAAGTTAGTGAACATATAACTACATTAAAAATAAGAAAATAAATTCTCTTTGGTCAGGGGTATAAGACACACCAAGAACAGACAGACCAGCAGCCACCCCGGCGAGAGCATCCCGGATCAGTACGCTGACGAGAGACCTCTGTGGAACGTGAGTCTCCAACCCGGGAGTCAGAAAATGCAGTGCCAACAAGTGAACCAAATAAGTCGATAAATAGAATCGATTGCACCCAACTCAATATTATTAATAGAACTATCAGAATAGAACCACAAAATAAAAATGTTTAAGATATTCAGAGAAATCAAAAAAAGGCTCACATCCAAATAATAGAAATAGGATATTTTAATGCAATCGTGGTGAGTATCAAAACAATAAAATAGATATCTTGAAAAAGAAAATGAAAAATGAACTTTAATAGCAGTCTAGATACAGCCAAAGGTATTGCTAATGTAAAGCTGTGGGTGCCTATAACAACAATATTGAGTGAACCATAAAATGGGCTACGAAACAAGGGGATAGAAAAAGGAAGTTCAATAGCCAAAAAAATAAACAGCTTAAGCAAGTAGTGGTAATGACTTTGCTTTCTGAGTCACTAAGGAAGGTAAGGTCTACCATTTAATAGTTCCTCTACCATTTCTAATCATTTCTCTGGCCACATTAGATTTTTTCACTTCCTTTCTATATAAAAGGTCTTCTTTTATATATTCACTCACATGGAAATATTATTATTAGTTTAGTTCAGCTCAAAATGCACTCACCAAACTCAGGTGAAGCGCTTGCTCACCCACCTGATGTGAAAATACAAGCAAAGGAAGAACAGTGATTTTTTTCTCTCTCCATTTTCCACTTCCTCTGCACTCATTTTCTGATGGCAGTGGTAGGGCAACAAAGGGAAGTGAGAAGAATGAAAAGTCATTTAAGCAAATGAGATACATGAGTGGGATTGAAGACGTCTTTCTCAGCTGTCCCATTTTCAAACTGGGGACACACAGCTGCCGACAGCTGTACGACAAGCTCACTCCACATATCCATCTCCAAGCAGTTTTCTCCCTGCTCTTGGCCACGACTTTACATTCCTCCGGCAGCATAATCACACTCCCCTACTGGATGAAGGTGTTCTCACTCAACTGAGACCCTATTCTTGGGGCAACCCCCTCATCTAAATCCACACTCACTGCACTAACACATAAAGAAACCTTCCAGGACCGCTTCCCTCCTTCCCATCGCTGAAAGACACGGCTGTCTTGCATCTTCTCAAAACACACAGCCTACGTGCCACAGTGCTTTCTATCAGCACCCACTGTCAGCTGACAGTAATTCTGAGAAAGAAAAGACACATTGTAGTGAGGCATTGGGAACCTTCACGTAGCACACAATGGGGAGACAAGTCTAACTCTGCAACATGCCTGGGGGGGGGACGAAGGAGTGACGGTCATACTGTAAAAAACCTGCTCTACCTCTCTCTTGCTAAGGAGAACAACTATAAAAACTGAACAATACCTTTTTAAAAAAAATCTAAATAAAGGTTCTATGTGAGGAACTATGGGACCAAGAGCCAAATAAGAGAAGAAATCCAAAGACATAACTTGACATTTGGAATGATTTTTCTTCAGAAGAAGTGGCTGAGACAGGGAGGAGGGCTTCCTACATCTTGTAGCAGTAGGAATAAAAAGGAGAATAATAATAACCTGGTAAACACTATACACTTTGATTTGGGATCTTCCAGGGCTACCACCTAGGAATAAGCACAAATTGGAAATGGACTGCTTCTGGGAACTGAATCCTAGCTCCAGACCAGGTATGTGACATTGGGTTAGGGTGAACAGAATTTGCTAATACCCCTAGTTACCTGTCAGAGTAACTGAGAGGACAGAATACAATTCAAGGTCTCACATAACTTACATAACTTCTTATATACAATGTCTGGTACTCGAGCAAAAACAATCAGACATGCTAGGTGAGCAGACCACATTGGTGAATGCCAAAAGAAGAAATGGACAACATAAAAAGATCTTCAGCAAATCTAGAGAATAGAGGTATCAGACACAGACTTCTAAATATCTATCCTTAAAATGTTCAGACTGGCCATGGCTAGGTAGCTTCATTGCTTAGAGCATAGTCCTGACACGCCAAGGCTGTGGGTTTGATACCTGGTCAGGACACAAACAATAAGCAGCCAACGAGTGAATGAATAAGCACAACAACAAACCGATGTCTGTCTGTCTCTGCCTCTGTCTGTCTCTCCCTTTCTCTCCTTTCTTCTCTCTCTCTAAAATCAATCAATAAATTTTTGGAATAATGTTTAGATTGGGACAAAATTAGAATTTCAGTAGAGAGTCACTAAAGACAGGATCAATTAAGAATCTTAGAAAGGAGCCCTGGCTGGTGAAGCTCAGTGGATAGAGCGCGGGCCTGCGAATCAAAGGATTGCAGTTCGATTCCCAGTCAGGGCACATGCCTGGGTTGCAGACTGCTTCCCTGCAGGCCAGTTTCCAGCAGGGGATGCACGAAAGGCAACCATACATTGCCTTTCTCCCTCTCTCCTTCCCCTCTATAAATGAATAAGTAAGTAAAATCTTTTTAAAAAAAGAATCTTAGAAAGGAAAATACAAGTAGCAACAACTATTAAGAACTCAGTGAATGGATTTCATAGCAGGTAGGACAAAGCCAAAAGATTTGTTAAACGGAAGGTTTAAAAAATCAAGAATGAAACAGAGACACATGAAAAAATATGAAAAATACAGAAGAAAGTCTGAGATACTTAGGGGGTAAAGAGAAAAGGTCTAATAGACATAAAGTTGAAATCTCAAAAATAGAGGCAGTAGAAAATAGGGTAAAAGCAATAAATTTGTGAAAAGGTAATGCCTGAGAACTTTTCCAAAATGACAAAAAACAGTGTATTGGTTTGGGATCACTCAGAAATGAATTGATTGGAGGGATCAGACTTCATGCTAGATGGAAGCTGCCAGAGAAAGCTATGTAAGGCTGTTACGTCTGTTTTCAATACTTGGCCTAAAGTTGCCAGACATCAGACAGGCTGGCTGTCAGGAAAGAAAACTGAACATGACCTACAGAGTACGGAAAACCATGAAGACGAACTGCACCCAGAAGCATGAGGGCCGACTGGAGCCCATGAGAACACACGCAAACCATGAAACCTGTGCCTGTCTATCGCCACGTGGAGAGTTCAGCTAACTCCCATGGTATTGCTGTCTGAGCATTCATTTTGGGGGGCCAAGAAGCTAGCAAGGACCTTAAACTGACACTAGATCCCTTATCTTGCCTCAGATACAAGAGTCACAAGCAAATAAGCTTCTGAAATGACTTGTGACCAATAGTCTCCCCCACTTCCCAGGAGCTGTATGCCCTATGTGCCCTGGGAAAGACCCACATGGGGATAAACAAAACCCTACTCTTTTAGTTTGAATTGGCCAATTTGGCCCTAACCCAGGAACCCAGAAGCACTACAGCCATGAACCATAATAAAGGCATGTGCCCCAGGTCCTGCCTTTCTCTGCACTCTCCCTGACCTCCCTATGCAGCCCCTCAAGGCATACTGTGAACTTCCTCCACTACTTACCAGCGATAAACTTCTGTTTCAATTTCTCTTCTGATCTGCTCTTTAACCACCCAAACACCATTACTGTAGCCTGAAATCACCATCCAGCACTCTATGCTCCAGTTAACAAATGCTAATTTAACAAAGTCATAAGACACTGCCTCCAAACTTGATGATAAGGGTGACCTGAAGGAGAACCTGGTACCTCTCATCACTGAGCTGCAACTTATCTGGCCTAGGACATGAAGAACCTGAAGATCTGGCAGGAGCAGGGAGAATGCAGGCACAGGTGCCATTCGGTGCCCACTAATTGAAATACCAGGTACTGACATTGCACCAGGGCTGCTGCAATGCCTGGGCCCGCCACTGGTCTTCAGAGTGAGAAAGGAAAAAAAAAAAAAAAAGGCTTCTGATTCACTCCCCACTTCCAAATTTTATGCGAATTTCTCTTGTGACTAACCCTAACCCAATCCTATAGTGAGAATGGAGTCCTGGGAAGTGCAGCTTCAGTTTAGCTAAGCTGACCCAGCTAGTGCACTACCACACTCCACTCTTGTCAACCTGATGTCTGTACACACCTCCAGCAGTCCTCCTTCCTGTCTGCCAGCATGCAATTCTCTCTCACAACCACAACCACACCAACGCTCTCTCCAAAAGAGGGTACAGAATTCCTTTATTACCAATGTCAATAGAAAATAAGGTAAAGGCAATATTTGAAAAGATAGTGGGTGAGAACTTTTCAAAATAATTAAAAATATGTTATTGGTCTGTGATCAATCAGAAGTGAATTTATCATAGGGATTAGAACTTATTTTATCATGGAAGCTGCCAGGGAAGTCTGTGTAAGGCTGTTACACCTACTCTGATATGTGAATACTAGGTGATGTTTAAATCTCTGGTCTAAGTACACTATTTAAGATTAACTACTACTAACACAGTTTATTGTCAATGGTAGAGGAATAGAAGAAAAATTTGTATATATATCCCCTTATATGTGACTAAAACACATATAAAAGTATCACTGTCCGGGAAGTATCCAGGTATGTACTTAGACAAATAGAAACATTTACTGAAGAATATACAAGATACTAGAAACATAGTAGATAGGGCAATGATGTCTCGGTCCCCTTCAAACTGGGCACCAGGCAGGGGACCTCTCACAGTTTTCCCAGCATCTCTTCCACTGTTCAAAACACTCTGCAAAACCCTTTGTTTGGAATTACCATCAGCTGCCCCATTGTATTTTCCTAAGTCTCATCGAGGGTCTGAAATCTCTTCGCTTTCAAAAGGGATTTTAGTTTTGGGAAAAGCCAGAAGTCACAGTGCCAAATCTGGGCTATAGGGGGCATCGAGTCACCTCGGTAATTTGATGTTTCTCAAAAAACTGCACTAGAGGTAGGTGATGCATGAGCTGGTGTGACAATCCCAGTTGCCCATATCTACAGCCATTTTCATCATATTGCAGCTCTCAACCAGCAAAGAACATTGAGGTAGTACTCCTTATTAATTATTTGGCCTGGTGGGGCATATTCATGATGGACAACATTTTCCCAATCAAAAATCAGTTAACATGCTCTTGATCTTCTTGCAACTTCTCCATGCCTTCTTTGGGCATGGAAAACCAGGTGACTTCCATTGGAATGAATGGGCCTTTGTTTCTGGATCATAGTCATAAACCCACCATTCATCCCTGGCTATGGCCTTCTTGAGAAAATCTAGTTCATTTGTAGTGGTTTGAATCAAGTCATTAACAACTGCAGCACGATTTTCTTTTTCCTCTGATAGTGGAAGCCACAGAATGAATTTTGCTGTGACACATTTTACACCAAGATTCCTCACCAAAATCTCGGACACAGTAGTTTTTGGAATCCCCAGATCAGCTTCTAGTTCTCAATGGTCAGTTGATGATCTTTGTTGACTTCAACCTATACATGTTCAAAATTCTCAAGTGTTCTTCTTGTTGCAGGTCTTCCAGAACTTGGATCCCTTTCAACAGATTCTTGACCATCTTTGAAGCATTTGTGCCACACTTTCATTTGTGCTGCACTCATTGCACCATCCCCAAGAGCCTTCTGAATTATCTGACTAGTTTTTGTGAAGGAATATTTAACGCAAAATTTGACGCAGGTTCATTAATGTACTTGCTCGGTCATTTGGAATGTGACTGCCACACAGCACACAAGCTCACTCAACAGTGTCCACCACCCCCAGTGACTAGTATGGCAAGGTTATCATTGTTCACACACGCTCATTCCAGTCCACTCTCCTTGGCTGTGAAGTTACATTGATGTCACGCAAACCATTCTTGTTACATTAGCAATGGCTAGACATTATCTGGACAGACCTCATATATTTAACCCTGGTTGGGTGGCTCAGTTGGTTGGAGTGTTGTACCATTTTGTTGCACCAAAATGTTGTGGGTGTGATCCCTAGTCAGGGCACATACCTAGGCTGTGGGTTTGATCACCGGTCAGGGTGTGTGTGAGAGGCAACCAATTGTATTTCTCACATCCATGTTTCTCTCTACCTCTCTCCTTCTCTCTCTCTCTTCCTAAGTCAATAAGCACCTCCTTGGGTGAGGATAAAAAAAAAAAACAGGTACAACTTCTAGTTATAAAATAAATAAGCTCTAGGAGTAAAATATTTAACATGGTGACTATAGTTAATACTATACAGTATATTTGAGTGTTGGCTAAGAGTAGATCTGAAAAGTTATCATTTACAAGGAAAAAATTTGGAGCTTTGTGAGGTGATAGGTGTTAACTAAATTTATTGTGATGACCATTCTGTAATATATACATATATCAAAACATTATGTGGTATACCTTAAATTTATATAATGTTATATGTCAATTACATCTCAACAAACTGGGGGCAAACCCTCAACTAATAGCATATTCAATGATGAAGACAGAAAACATTTTCCTATGAGATCATGAACAAGAATGTATGCCCACTCTTGCCTATTATTTAACATACTATTAGAAGTCCTAGCCAGAGCAATTAGGTAGGAAAGAGAAATATAAGGCATCCAAATTGGAAAGAGGTAAAACTGTAACTATTTGCACATGACATGATAGTCTATACAGAAAATCCTATTATTCCATCACGGAACTGTTAGAATAAATGAATTCAGTAATGTGTTACAAACCCACATTCTTGGGTACCACCCCAGACTTGCCAAGTCATGGGTGCTGGGTGGGAGGCCCACAGTTTTTGCTGTAACAAGCTGTCCAGGGAACTCTGGTGCTTGTTCATATTTGAGAATCACTGCCTGGACTGAACTCCTGTCACTGACTATCTCTGGGACCTTTCTGTGCCTCAATTCCCACATCTGTAGATAGGGAAAAATAATGGTATACCTGTTTCAAAGAGTGGGTGTATGCTTTCAAAAGTTGAAAAGTGACAGACACTATTATTATTTTTTTAGAGATTTATTTATTTATTTATCTTTAGAGGGGAAGGGAAGGAGAGAGAGAGAAACATCAATGTATGATTGCCTCTCGTGCGTCCCCTGCTGGGAACTGACTTGCAACCTAGCCATGTGCCCTGACTTGGAATCAAACTGCAATCCTTTGGTTCGCAGGCCCGCGCTGAATCCACTGAGCTATACCAGCCAGGGCCAGGCACTATTATTATTAATTAACAATAATTAGTATTAAATATTAATTAGTTGACATTGTATACAACTTGGTTTTCTGATTTTCTCCACTCAAATGCTGGCTGTGCCTGGAGGGGCTGGAGGTGTAACAGAAACATCAGTGTTCACTGAAAGAAATCATGAAGACCAACTGGCATAGGCATCAGGAAGCCAGACAGAAAGACTGAGGAATAGAAGGACTGCAAACACTGGGAGAACAGGGGAATGTCCCACTGAACCAGACTTGGTCTGAGTGGGAGAGTGAGCACAAGCGGACAGGAAGTACCGCAGGTGAGGGTGTGGGCATCCTCGCTCTGCCCAGGTCAGGCCTCTCATCCACCAGGTGTGGAAAGCCCAACCTGTCCACCCTCCCTCTTATGCCGTTGGATCCTCTCAACCTGAGCTAGGATCCAGGTGGCTATCAGACCACAGACCCCTTTCACAAATGAAAATACAAAAAGTGAAACTCACCAGTCAAAGCCATGATATTCATTTGAGGTCTCTATCCACACCAACAGCAAAACCACAGATATGCAAAATGCAATAACCAAAAATGGGTAAAATAACCGCTCTCTCTGGGAAGAGAAAAAAGGAAGTAAAATTTAACTCCATTGATTCACGTTACCTCAGCGGTACCTGTGTACACTTGCCAAAGGTCTGTGCGGTCACAGTGCCATGCGTGACTCTCCCCGGGCTGCACTGAACACTGTATTCTTCTTACCCCTATGGAATTTTGTATAAGCTACTGTACATTTATCACACTAAAATGGAATTATGGGACTCACTCATTGAGTAGTTCATTAACTCACTGTTCATTAGTTCATGTACTCATTTATTCACACCTGGAAGGGCCATAAGCAGGTTAGGGAATAAGCCCCCCCCCTTTTGAGTAGCTATTTTGTGCTACTACAATGTTAGGGACTTGACAAGCTACTTTCGTTTTATATATTTCTCAGTATAGCCATTTCATATTAGGTATTGTTAATGTTATTCTGCAGAAGAAAGCACTAAAGCTCAATGGGGTAATATAACTGACTCACAGTCACAAGGACAAGTAGCAGGGATACTGACCAGATCTGTGAACCCAAAAGCAGGATGGATATTCAAACTGAGCCTTGAAGGCAACCGCCTATGCTAAAAGTGACAACACACACCAGCCATGCCAGAGGTTGCCAAACCCTTCCTGAAACATTAGGTTTGGGCTGCTACCTCAGTTATAGTCCTAACACATCTCTATCATGGTAGTAAGAAATCCATCTCTTAGGGACACTGCTTTTACTGTTAAAAATGAGTACAGTAATCCCTACTCTGCCTCAATCATGGGGTTATTGTGAAGAATGAGAATGAAGAAATAAAACAGAAAACAGAAAGGCTACATTAGAAAGAGGAGAGACATTACAGGAATCAGGCACTCACTGAACTACCACTTCTGAGGGTCAGAGGATGAAGAGCACAGGATTTGACTCAGGTCTTATTCTTCACATAAAACTTGGGTGAACTTTTAAAAACACGTATCAGATAATGGCCCTCCCCTGCTCACAACCCTTCCCAAGCTTCCCGTTGTCCTACAGTATCATCCAACCTGCCCGCCGTGGCCTACAAGGTCCTACGTGATTAAGCCTGGCCCACCCCTGACCTCACCCCAATCTACACACTGACTCCATCTCCGAACTCCAGCCACACTGGACTTCTCTCAGTTTCTAGAACATAACCCAAACTGTTTCCACCAAGAGCTTTGTACTCCCTGGTTCTTCTGCCTGGAATACTTTTGCCCCCAGACGTACACATGGCGGGCTCTACCTCGTCACTGAGGGGACGGCTCACATTCCCCTCTTTCTAGGAGGTCTCGTCTAACCACCCTCCCTTCCCAGTTTCTAGTACATTGTTTAAATTTCTTCTATTTGTTGCCCTCAAAGCATGTACTGCTATCTGAAATCATTTATTCTTCACTTATTGTTTACCACCTAACATCCCACTAGAATGTGAAGTGCAGGGAGGGGGCAGATGCTTTAGTCACTGTTGAACATAGTGTTTAACAAAATTGTTTTTATTGAATAAATACATTTCCTTATTTTGCTTTTCATTACTGTCACTCTTACAAACATTAAAGGCTCCCCATTGTTTATAGGATAAAGTTTAAACACTTTAGTGTGACATAAACATGCCTCATAATTTGATCAAAATATTACTTTCCAACCACTTACTGACTTACATGTCACTAAATTCAACATTGTATACCTGCTTTTCCCTAAACACACCACTGTGCTTCTCTGCCTCTGGACTTCTGACCATGTTATTCCCTCCACTTAGAAACCCCTGCACCATTATTTCTGTATGTGGAAGATCACTTCCACAACTTGCTAACTCCAAAAACTGCAACAACAGCTAACAGTTATTGAGTGCTAATTGTGTGCCAGGCCCAATTCTAAGTGTTTTCCTCATATTACCTCTTCTATCCTCAAAACAAACTTTACTGGTGGATCCTATTATTATTACCTCCATTATTCTAATGAGGAATCTAAAGCACCAGAATATTAATTAACTTGCCCAAGATTCCACAGTGATAAAGCTCTTTTCTTTAAAGTTCACTGAGTGAATAAAAACATAAGTAAGTGAATGAAAAATGAATGATATAAAAGAGTAAGGAAGATGCAAGTGAAGAATAAAAGTGAAAGAAAATGAAGAAAACAGACACATCTTTCAGTAATGTTAACCTTGGCTCCAGAATTGTGGCAGACCTGTCATGGGAGAACCAGAGCCCGGCCTCGCCCAGTTCTGGAGACTACAGAGCCCTCATGGCGGCAGGGATCAGCCTGTGCTCCCCACATGTTGGGAAGTGTGGTCCATATCCTCCCCATCTCTCTGTACCAAAGAGCAGCAGCAGAGTGCACGTCTACTTCTCTTCTCTGGTTTGATTTCCCACTCCAAGCTGTATAAGCCAGTGATGTAGGTGATATAGCATTCATGGTTACAATGGTCTGCTATACATGAGCTACAGTTTTTCCATCTTCTTGTCTTCCTCTTGTTCTTGTTTTGCATGGTTCACCCTGTTGCTGGAATTACAAATAAAACAATCAAGATCTAGTGGCTGCTTTAAATGTTTCCTACCCCGCCATCCTAGAGAAAAATCCATCAAAAATAAATGATTCGTTAAAAAAATTATAACTGGAACTTCCAGCCAAGATGGAGGTGTGGGTGAAAACACTGTGCCTCCTCGCACAACCAAGTTTAAAGACAACAAAGTTTTAGTAACAAAAACACAACCAAAACACAAACAATTGAACTGTATGGAAGTCTGACAACAATGAACAATTCAGCCAGACTGGTAAGAGGGGCAGAGTCAGTGGCTGGTGGAGCGGGGTCCCAGCTGGAAAAAGCGGCCAGACTGACCCAGGAGTGCAGGCAGCGGTTGGCAGATCCCAGGTGTGGGGTGGCAACAGGAAGACCCAGTGGGGGCACAAGGCAGTGGGCTGACTGCGGTCACACATTCACATTCAGATAAACTAGGCGAAGGAGGGAGCACTGAGATAAACTGTGCAGGCTAGGGCCCCAGCAACAGGAATTAAAGCCTAAAAGCACCAACTGGAAAAACTTTTGGGGTCGAGGTGCCTGGAGAAGCTCCCAGGCTCACAGAGAGTTTGTTGGAGAGACCCATGGGGTCCTGGAGGGTGCACAGGCCCACACACCCCAGAGCCGGCACCAGGGGGGTCAGGTTTGCTTGCGGGAAGCAGCAGAGGGGACTGAAATCCGAGAGAGAGTGGAACAAACACCATTGCCCCTCTCTGACCCGGCCCCCACATACAGCATCACAACCCAGCAACTGGGTTGCTCCGCCCTGGTGAACACCATAGGCTCCGCCCCTCATACGTAATGGGTGCAAACAGACTGAAACATTATGGCTCAAGAAGAACAGCTCAAAGCCCCAGAGTCAATACCTCGAAGTGACCAAGAGATAGCCAACCTATCAGATGCACAGTTCAAAACACTGGTGATCAGGATGCTCACAGAACTGGCTGATTTTAGTCACAAATTAGAAGAACATATGAAGGCTAAACTAAGTGAAATGAAGGGAAATGCACAGAAAACCAATAGTGATGGAAAGGAAACTGGGACTCAAATCAAGGGAGTGGACCAAAAGAAAGAAAAAAAAATAACTAGACAGAAAAGAAAGAAGAAACAAGAATTCAAAAAAATGAGGGGAGGCTTAGGAACCTCCAGGACATCTTTAAACACTCCAACATCCAAATTATAGGGGTAACAGAAGGGGAAGAGGAAGAACAACAAGAAAACTTATTTAAACAAATAATAAAGGGAAACTTCCCCAATCTGGCAAAGGCAATAGGAAATCCAGGAAGCTCAGAGTCCCAAAGAAGTTGGACCCAAGAAGGAACACACCAAGGCGCATCATAATTACATTAGCCAATATTAAAATGAAGGAGAGAATCCTAGAAGCAGCAAGAGATAAGGGGATAGTCACCTACAAAGGAGTTCCCATCACACTGTCAGCTGATTTCTCAAGAGAGACCTTATAGGCAAGAAGGGGCTGGACAGAAGTATTCCAGGTCATGAAAGGCAAGGACCTACATCCAAGATTGCTCTATCCAGCAAAGCTTTCATTTAGAATGGAAGGGCAGGTCAACTGCTCCTCAGATAAGGTCACATTCAAGGAGTTCATCATCACCAAGCCCTTATTATATAAAATGTTAAAGGGACTTACCTAAGAAAAAGAAGATAAAAAAGATGAACAGTGAAAGAACAGCAAACTCAGTTATTAACAACCACACCTAAAACAAAAGCAAACTAAGCAGACAACTAGATTAGGAGCAGAGCCATAGAAATGAAGATCACATGGAGGGTTAGCAACAGGGGAGTGGGAGGAGGAGAAGGGGGGAGAAGGTACAGAGAATAAGTCGCGTAGATGTTAGGTAGAAAATAGACAGTGGGTAGGGTAAGAATAGTATGGGAAATATAAAGAACTTGTGACACATGGACATAAACTAAAGGAGGGGGAATGGTGGGGGAAAGGTGTGCAGGGTGGAAGGGAATGAAGGGGGGGAATGGGACAACTGTAATGGCATAATCAATAAAATATATTTAAAAGTAAAAAATATATATAATCTAAGATAATGCACTGGATTCAGTGCAGAAGACTAGAGCTTCATCCCACCTTTCCTATTAACTCATTGAGTGTTTATTGCCATCATTGCACCATTCAAGGTTTGGTTTTCTCACCTCTAAAACAGGACCATATCCTCTGTTCTAGCCAACTAATAGACGCTGAAAGCATCACATGATGTTTTTTAAACTGCAACATGCTCTCAAAATAACGTAAGGACTTAGAGGCATGGGTGAGATATGTGAAAAACACAATCCCTGACCAGCATGTGACTCTCACACGGTGCCTGCCCCTTCCCTTTCACTCCCCTCCCACACTGAATCAGTGAGGGTAGCCTCCATGAAGAATGGATTAAGGATATTCAAAACAGCAATGGTTGAAATAAGACAGGTTTGTTTTTCTTTTGCCACCAAAACATTTCAAAGGCACGAAGAACAAGTATGCGGTACGTGGCTTCACGATGTCACTCAGGACCCAGACACTGGCCACCTTGCTGCTCCACTGCAGCACCGGGCTTCCTTCTCGGGGGGCCCCAGCAGCTGCTCAAGCCATATGCGCATCCCAACTCCAACTAGAAGGGAGGAGGAGGGAACGGAGAAGGTGCTCCCTTTGTTCTAAGAACAAGCACAGAGGCTGAACATGACATTTCACTGGCAGAAGAGGGGTTTTCTTACTAGTAAAAAAAAAACAGGAAAAACAGATATTGAGGGACATCTGGCTGTCACTACATTTTCTTACCCCACTGTGATAGGAGAATGTTGTTCTCATACTTGGAACTTTTAGAGAATGTATAAAAGTGCAGGGAAGTGGGGGACAATGTATTTATTTATGTATGTATGTATGTTCACCTTTTTAAAATTGTTGCTCAAGTACAGTTGTCTCCATTTTCCCCCAACCCCAGCCATCCCCACTTCTCACCCTTGATCCTACCACCCTTTGATTTTGTCCATGTGTCCTTTATAGATAGATGTTCCTGAAAACACTTTCCTCTTTACCCTCACTATCCCTTCCCATCTCCCCTCTGGTTACTATCAGTTTGTTCTTAATTTCAATGACTCTGGTTATATTTTGTTCACTTGTTTTTTTTTGTTTCTTGTTATTTAGGTTCCACTTACAGGCAAGATCATATGGTATGTGTTTTTCACCACCTAGTTAATTTCACTCAGCATAATGCTCCAGTATCACCCACGCTGTCAAAAAAGGTAGGAGCTCCTTCTTTCTTTCTACTGCATAGTATTCTATTGTGTAAATGTAGTTTTTTTGATCCACTCATTTACTGATGGGCACCTAGGTTGCTTCTAGCACTTGGCTAATGTAAATTGTGCTGCTGTGAACATAGAGGAGCACAGATTCTTTTGAACTGGTGTTTCAGGGTTCCTAGGGTATAATCCCAGCAGTGGAACTACCAGGTCAAAAGGTGGTTCCATTTTTAGTTTTCGGAGGAAACTCCATACTGTTTTCCACAGTGGCTGTACCAGTCTGCAGTTCCACCAACAGTGCACTAGGGTTCCCTTTTCCCCACATCTTCTCCAACACTTGCTGCTTGTTGATTTGTCTATGATGGCCATTCTCACTGGTGTGAAGTGGTATCTCATTGTGGTTTTAATTTGCATCTCTCTGATGCCTAGTGATGCTGAGCATCTTTTCATATGTCTCTGGGCTCTTTGTACATACTCCTTGGAGAAGTGTCTGTTCAGGTCTTTTGCCCATTTTTTAATTGGGTTGTTTGTCTTCCTGGAGTGGAGAGATGTGAGGTCTCTATACATTGTGGAAAGCAAACCCTTTTCTGAAGTATCCTTGGCAAATATGTTTTCCCATATAGTTGGTTCTCTTTTCACTTTAATGCTGTTCAGTCTTAAGGGTCTGACGCCAGGCAATAGTCTCTGCCCCTAAAAACCTTCTGTTGTGCTCCACTCTGTTTTTTTGTGAAAGGCCCTGTAGTATAGTTAAGATTGCATAGTCTGAACATCTACTTCTGGCCAAAAGGGAATAATAGGAACAGCAGTAACCTCTCACTTTAAGTGACTAAAAATCTGGGGGAAATATAAAACAAACAGTTTTCAAGCAGTGGACAAAAGACAGTGAAGGATAGCAATGCTTCAAAGAGGGGAAGCAAAGGAAGTGAGTACAGGCATATCTTGGAGATATTGGGGGTTTGCTACCAGACCATCGCAATAAAGTGAATATTGTAATAATGCGAGTTGTGAATTTTTTGGTTTCCCAGTGCATACAGAAGTTGTGTTTATACTATACTGTAGTCTATTAAATATGCAAAAGCATTATGTCTAAAAAGATGTACATACTTTATTAATATTTTTAAAGATTTTATTTTAGACACAGAGGAAGGGAGAAAAAGAGGGAGAGAAACATTGATCTCACATGCCCCCAACTAGGGACTTGGCCCTCAACCCAGGTACCAGCTCTGACTGAGAAATGAACCGGTGACATTTTGGTTTATGGAAAGATGCCCAATCCACTGAAGCCACACGAGTCAAGGCAACATACCATAATTTAGAATATCTTATTGCTAAAAAATGCTAACAATCTCTGAACCTTCAGCAAGTTGTGATCTTTCTGCTGGTGGGGGTCCTGCCTCGATGCTGATGATCGCAGGCCAATCAGGGTGGCAGCTGCTGAAGGTTAACACGGCTGTGGTGATTTCATAAAACAAGGCAGCAGTGAAGTCCTCCCCATTGCTTGACTCTTCCTTTCACAAATAATTTCTCTGTAGCATGCAATGCTATTTTACCCACATTAAACCCACAGCAAAACTTTTCAAAATTGAAGTCAATTCTCTCGAGTCCTACTGTTCCTTTAGCAACTAAGTTTACATAAATTTCTAAATCCTTTGTTTCATTTCAATCTTCACCAGCAGCAGATTCCATCTCAATACGACACCTTCTTTGCTCACCCATGACAGGCAGCTCCTCATCCACT